CATGTTTACGATCAACGACGGGGCAGAATCATGCGAAAAGGTGGGCCATCTACGTGGTGTAATTACTCGGTTCGCAATGAATTGCCCGCTCGCCCGCGCGCGCAATCGCCCTGCCCGCGCGCTCGCCCGCCCGCTGGGTGGTTTGCAAGACCCATGCGGCGCGATTGAAGAATGCTCGGGGCTGGTCGGTGCATCTTTGCTGCCGCGCTAGCCCGCGCGTGCTCGCGCGCGACGCGGCGAGCTAAATTGGCGCGGCCGGCGCGTGCGCGGCGGCGCTGACCGCCGGGCACTTCCCAACGGGCATGTCAATGCGAGTCGGTGACCTGGGCGGGCGCGGTATCATGGCGACGCCGACAGCGGCAGACGCGACGACGGTTGCAGCGATGCCGGCGACGACGATGACGAGGGCGACGACGGCAAGGCCGCTGACGGCGCCAGTGCTGCTCGCGCCGACGACGATGACGGCGCTCTCGCGTCGGCGATGAAGGTTTCGGAGGGAGTTCGACACGCGCGCGCGGCCGACGCGCGCGATTGGCCCGGGTGGCGTTATTTGACGCGGATCGTGCTCCCGCCCAGCACGCGCGCAAGGGCGCCCGGATGATTTCGACGCGGCGGGGGAGGGCAATTTGGCAGAAATTTATAAACATGTAGAATCAACGGTGGTCTGCTTAAGAACTCGCTGGGGCGCGGGCGCGTGTTTTTTGTTGCGCAACTATGTGATTTTACACGTGGTGGGGCACTCGGTTTTGACGTCCATGCGACCCGCGAGTTTTTTAGGGATTGCGGCATGCGCGCGCGACGACGCGCGCTCGTGCACATCGCAAATTGTCTGCAAAGGGTTCTTGCGACAGCACACGCGCTGGGGCGCTCGAACAATTCGGGCGCGCGCGGGGGCGGTATTTTTGGCAGCAACTTGTGAGCGCGTTGAAGATGCAATTGCTTCCTTCGGAATTCGCGCGAGCCCGGCGCAAATTATGTACATGTATAAAAAATGATCATAGCGAAACCATGTGCTTTTGTCTTCATGTTTCTCGGAGCGCTCGATTTCGAAATCCGTGCGAAACCTTGGAATATTGCTCTGGCAAAGACTTCGGCACGGGCGCGACGACGCGCGCGCGTGCGCTTCCTCTTTTTTTCTGCAAGGGGTTCATACAAACGTATGACCTGACATGAACGAGTGCGCGCGCGTCGTATCCTTGTGCAGGAGATGCAAGGGGGCGCGATGCCGGCCTGCCTATGATGGTGCGAACTCATATTTCGGATGGATAACCGGGCACGAACATGTAAAATACAACGCGCAAGCATGTTCCCAGGTGGGGATCCAAATCTTATGTTAGAAAAGAGAATTTACGTGGTGCAACTGATTTTTACAATCGAGCTGACAATTCCCATGCTCTTGCGATCATCCCACCCACTCGCCTGCAACCTGGCTTGCGCAGCCCATGCGGCGGCGATTTCGATGAATGCTTGGCGTTGGCTGGTGCATCTCTGCGGCCGCGCTTGCCCGCGCATGCTCGCGCGCGCAGCGGCCGGCAAGTTTGGCGCGACCGACGCGGCCGCGGTGGCGCTGGCCGCTGGGCACTTCCCAGCGGGCACTTCAGCGCGAGTCGGTGACTTGGGCGGGCGCGGTATCATGGCGACGCCAACAACGGTACACGCGATTATGATAATAGCGTTAGTGGCGATGACGGCAATGCCAATGATGTCGGCGATGTTGATCAGGCTCGCCGATGACGATGGCGATGTCCCCACGTCGGGGGTGGAGGTTCTGAAGCGAGTTCGACATGCGCGCGCGGCCGACGCGTGCGATTGGCGCGCGTGGTACGATTTGACACGGATCGCCCCCCCCCCCCACACACACACACACACTGCCCCAGCACGCGCGCAAGGGCGTTCAAATGAGTTCGACATGCGGCGGGAGAAGCCCGATTGGCAGAGTTTGATGACAATGCTTGAAAACGAACGGTTTCCTTAAGAATCCGCATGGGCGCGGGCGCGGGATTTTTTGAACGCTGATGTTGCAAATGCATGTTTTACCTATGCGTTCGGGGTAGTCGATTTTGAAATCCTTACGTCACCTCAGGTTTTTTCTGAAAACAAATGTTTCACATATTTCGGCATGCGCGCGCGACGGCGCGCGCGCGCACTTCGTCTCATTTGTCGCAGGGGATTCCAGCGACGGCACGCGCACAAAAACGTTCGAACGAATTCATGCTCGCACGGGGGGCCCGTTTGGTAGCATACCATGAAATAATTTACTGCCCATTCGCAAGAGCCCGAACGCAGGTTGCGGAGCCAAGTGTTTATATATATATATATATATATATACACGTACATATATATGTTTATATATATATGGTATCGGGGCACTCGATGTTGAAATCTTTGCGAAACCTCTGGCTTTGGAAATATTCGGCACGCGCGCGCGACGACGCGCGCGTGTACACTTCGTCCAGCTATTTTGCAAAAAGGGTTCTGGGAAACGGATGATTTGTGATAGCCGACTGCGCGAGCATTGTATTTCTTGCAAAGGATTAGGGTCGATACTGGCCTGGCTCGGGCGCTGCGCATTCATATCTAGGATGGGCGATGGGGCGAAATCATTTGCAACTTGCTCCATGAACAAGTGATCCGTTAGGTCCAGGGTGGTGGTTGTAGAACTTAGGATTCTCCTAGACAAGAAAATCGGCGTGGTGAAATCTATGTGGTGCATATTTGCTGGTTCTTTGTTTTATCATATGGTGCAATATATGTGGTAAAATTTCCATGTGGCCCACATGGTTTGCACACAAGGTAACGCAAAACAGCAATGCAATGCGAAGCACTGCGGAGCAGTGCAAAGCAATGAATTGCAATGCAACCCAGCGCACAGAAATGCGAAGCAATGAAAGCCAATACAACGCAACGACAGGCAACGCAGCGACACGAAACACGATGCAAAGCGAACGCGTCAATGCAAAACAACTCAACTCAAGGCAAATAAAGCAGCGCAAGCCAATATTGCGCAAGGCAAAGTAGCGCAACGCAATGCAAAACTAGCGCGAAGCATTGCAAAACAATGCAGAGCAATGCGGCGACGAGGCGGCGGGCGGCGACGACGCGGGGACGGGGCGGCGACGGCGGCCACACTGCGGCAGGACCGCCACGCAGGCCGAGACGACGGGAGGCGACGAGGCGGCGACGGGAGCCACAAGGCGGCGGACCCGACGCGAAAACCCAGAAGACGGCGGCGACGCGAAGGCGACGGGGCGCGACGGCGACGGCGACCACATAGCTGCCAGACCGACGCGCAGGCCCAGACGACGGGCGGCGACGACGACCACATAGCCGCCAGACCGACGTGCAGGCCCCGGTTCCTTAGAAGACAAGTGAGGCACCCTGAGTGCAGGCACTTTGTGGGAACTGTGTGATCTCATATCAGGAGATCGCCCGCGGTGCGACCTGTCTAACACAAGCTCCGCAGCACTGGCACGCTCGCACCACGCAGTGCTTGAAAAGCAAACGACGGCAGAGATAATATTAAGCTTATGTTGCAACCGTCGTACTCAAAGACCATATCCCAGAAATAACTTCGAGCTCCCGGAAAAGTGTCGCAACAATGTCGAAACATTGTCGGACGAGTGTCTCCCAGGGCCCGAAACGTGAACCCCCCTCGAGTTTCGGTATAGTTTTGCTGGTGCTCGAAATTATTTCTGGTGATGAGGCTAACGTAGGTTGGAACATCATAATATTAGGCCGCTCGGCAGATGGGGCAGCAATTATTATGATGAGCTTGCGAATTTAAGCTGGCACTCGTTTGCATAGGGACACGGCAGGGAGAGGGACGCGGCAGGACGGGAAGAAGAGAACGAGAAACAGACAGCGACAGCGGCGGCGGCGGCGACGACGATCGAGGATGGTTGCGGCGACAATGGAGGCGGCGACGGCGGCAACGACGAGGGTGCCAACCACGACGATCGGCAGATTGCAGGGAGGCCTCCAGGGGTCCTGGAGATCTCCATGGAGGCTTCTGGATGCCCCAGTAGGGCCCGAGGAGGCCCAGAAACGCCCGAAAACCTGGACCCTCGTGCCTCGAGACTCGATCTGGCGGCGGCGGCAATGGCGACGGCGACGGCGACGACAATCGGCGGCGAGGTTTCTAGAGGTCTGCCGAGGCCTCTGGGTAATTGGGGAGGGCCAGAGGCGTCCACGAGCCCCGAGCCTCGAGCCCTGATAGGCGGCGGCAGCGGCGACGGCAGCGACGGCGGCGAAGCACCCTTACTGTTTTTTTTTATTTCACTCCCCACAGGTAGCCTGGATTCACAGTCTTTTCGGACCCCATCGGGGAGGCCTGGATTCACAGCGTCGGCCTCCCACAGGTCTCGACCCATTCCCGGGGCCGATTCTTCGCCCCGAGTCGCCCAGATCTTCGCCCGACGCGGAGCCCCGTCGCGACGGGGCCTCGTCTCCTCAGGACTCGTCCGCCCCCTGGCCAGCGGTGGCGGCGGCCAGCCGCCTGGGCAGCGCCCCTGGAGCTCCCCAACCCCTCACCAGAGACAGTGTGTCTTCCCAGATCCATTTTTGATGTTCCCGGGGCCAAAATCTGGGTCTGGGAGCAAGATCGGAGTCCTTCGAATAGGGGAGCGATCGACTACAGACTTGATTGGTCCCACGAAGGGTTGAATCGCCGAATCCACCAAACATACGTAGCGTGCTCCGTAGATCTATAGGCATTCTACGCATCTCCCCCCGCTGGGCCAAGCAGTGGGGTAAATCTCTTCTCGGCGGTGGACAAACCTCCCTTTAGTTCACCTCCCCTTCGTGAAAACGGCCTGGGACCGAAACCGACGGACCTGGACCCGCAAAAATGACGGCCGCGACGCCCTCTCGCGATCCGAAACCGGCCAATTCCTCAATCGACGTGTCAGGGTAGGAGGTCCATCCACCTCCGATCTTCTGCTGTCGATGCCCTACTCGAGTACTGCGATGACTCATGGCGAGCAACGGCGGCGGGCACCGACCTGGGCCGCGCGGCGTTCCGCGGGCACCGGCCGTGGCGCACCGCTGCGCGGGCCCGGGTTGGGCCGGGCGGCCAACCTGCGGCGCAAGCGACGCCGTCGGCCGGCGGCGGCAGCGGCGCGGCCGAGCGACGGGCAGCACGACGCCGTCGGTCGACGCCGCCGCGTCGACGGCCGACGACCGACGACCGACGGCCTGGGCGTGGGCAACGACCGACGGCGTGAGCGTGGGCGTCGGCCTCCGGCCGTCGGCCATCGGCCGTCGTCGTCGTCGTCGCCGTCGCGGTCGTCGCGGTCGTCGTGGTCGTCGTGGTCGTCGTGGTCGTGGTCGTGGTCGTGGTCGTCGTCGTGGTCGTGGCCGCGGTCGAAGTCGCAGGCGGCGCTGGGCGGCTACAGCACTGCGAGCTGCGAGGGCGCCCTCCGCTCTATCCGTCCCCCGCACGTGGGCGAAAAGGGGGGAGGGGCGGAGAGGGGGGGGGAAAATGGAGATGCGACTCCATTTCGTTATCCTCCTCTTCTTCCTTCCTCCTCCTTCTCCTCTTCCTCCTCCGGGCCGCCTACTTTCTGCTCGGCCTCTTACTCGCGTCAAAATGCTGTCGGTCTAGCCAAGCCTTCTAAGAAGGGGGCGTGTTCCGTCAGAGCGCCACGGCCTTCCGCTTCAACAAGTTATGGGAGGCATGTGGCCCACGGACGGGTGCCGCCCCACGCTGCCCCATGCCTCAGACGTTCGGGGCGCTGGCCACGGACGCAACATTCCCAAAACCTCCGCGTTCGGCCTGGGGGCAGTGATGGGGGCGATCACGGCTGGCCTCCCTCGCTCCCTCGCCCGCCTCCTCTCCCTCATGTACCCCGCCTCTTCCGTTCCTCACCTCCTTGCAGGCTTCCTAGGGCACGACCGCGCTTGATGGGCCCATGATTTATCGTGTGCACGTCGCGGGCAATGACCGCGCGACCAGCGCTGAGTACAACATAGTTCGCGCGCCGAACAAACACCTCTTTCTTCTCCTTCCCCTGCAACCTATTGAAGAGGAGTGGCACGGGAACGTGACAATGATATTTCCTTTACAGCCGGCCTAGACGAATGCTCCGCTGATCAGCACTTGAACCAAACAGCGTCGGTGACGACAACTGCTCGGAGAACTGCACCACTACACTCCTCACCCAGTCGCAGCGCCATGTCCTAACACCCCCCCTCGGCCAAAAGGGCCAATGTAGGCGACGAGGCAATCAAGGGGAAAACGGATTTATAGCAAACTGGATGAGGGTAACTGAATCAAATCGAGGTCAGGCCAAGGCTTCACTATAGCCGACTACAGACGTCCTAATTGGTAACGCGCGGTGCCTGCACAGGAGACCGGCGACTGAACAGTACGGCATAAACGTGCAAGGGCTTCCTAGCACGCGATGCACTTTTTTATCCGCCGCTAAGTGCGAGGCTGCGGAAAATTGATAATATCTTCGCGGAAGGTACGGCGGCTGACTGACCTGTTTGGCGCGGCAGCCCGACCACCCCAGTCTCGCACCTGCTCTGGGGTGTTGTCAGAGCGAAAAGTGGGGTCACGATTCATCTCATCGGCTGCGTCGTGCAGGACACTCGACTCGTAAGCCGCTTCACGATCCTCGCGATCTAACCAGCACCCATATCGTCTTCCCTGATGCATTTAACACTGCGGTCCACGATGCTGTCGAAGCGACCTATCGCCGCCCAGAGGGTGCGGTCTGGGCTGCGAAGGTAGTGCGGGGGAATCCATCGACAATATCAGGCATGCGGAGAAGGCTGCGACAGTGCAAGGCAGCGAGCAGAGGTCACGGAGTGCATGACGTGACCAGCGCTGCCCCCGACCTTCATGCGACGAGATCTACGCATGTCCACCGCCACTGGATCGGCCCATCCTGGGGCAGGAGCGGTGCACCTGGCTACTGGCAAAGCCAGGGATGCATAAACACATGTACACCTACGCCCAGCATGGGCCTAGCCAGTGGCGGTGGATCTATACGTACATGCACATATATACTCACATACACACATATATATATATATTTCTATATATACATAGATAGAGATCTCGTCGCGCTACGACCCGCGAACCCCTGGAGGCCTCCAAAAGCCGATCTCCAGCGCCGTGATGGACCACGACCGATGGCCCCGAGATCCCGAAGACCCGGCCCGACGCTTCAAGGGCACCAGGAAAATCTGGGAGCTCGAGACATCCTCTCGGGAGCGGTCGGGCCACCTCGCAGCATCTCCTTCCTCCTCCTCACCCGTCTCCACCTCCTCCTCCTCCTCCTCCTCGTCCTCTCCCTCTCCTCCTCCTCCTCCTCTCCTCCTCCTCCCTCCTCCTCCTCCTCCTCCTCCTCGTCCTCTCCCTCTCCTCCTCCTCCTCCTCCTCCTCCTCCTCCTCCTCCTCCTCCTCCTCCTCCTCCTCCCTCCTCCTCCCCCTCCTCCTCCTCCCCCTCCTCCCCCTCCTCCTCATCCCCTTCCTCCCGCTCCTCCTCCTCCTTCTCCTCCTCCTCCTCCTCCTCCTCCTCCTCCTCCTCCCACCGACGGTGTGGTCTTTCCTCCGTGATGGGGACTCGCGGGACCATCCAGGCCGGGTCGGTCCGCGAGGGCCCCGGGCCCCGACGCAGTGCAAAAGCGCCCGCCGTGCACCTCCCTTGACCGCGGCGCCTCGAGAGGGCCGAGGCCCGTCCTCGGACATTCTCTGATGATGACTTGTGCGGGCCGCTTCCCTCGTCCCAGATCAATGTTTCGATGGTCCCTGGGCCGGGTCGTGCGCTCCAGGGGCCGCAGCGGAATAGAACCACCCTCATTGGAGCAAAATCGTGTCGTCGGAGGTGTGGCTCTCTTCGAGCAGTGGCCGACCGTCCCAGCATTCCTATGGATATAGCACGACATGTGTGCCTAGAACATGAAGCCGAGGTATTAAGCCAAGACGGCCTCGACCTGACATTCTCTAGAACACTTTGTACACACCACATAACAAAAAGGCTCAAAACATTATTTGGTGGGGGACGCACCGCCACTGCTCTGGGCGTTGCTTCAGGGGGGGCGATACATGGGGAATGGAGAAACGTGCACCGTCAGGGCCCCTTCAGGTCTCCTATAGGAAGCAAGCGGCGCACCTTTGTTCTCATCCCCGGCGCTTGAGCGCGGGCGAACCATCTATCGCCCCCCCTTGCGCAACGCCCGACTGCTCGACCCTGGCCCCGCCCCAGTCGACTACACGCAAGAGTGACCCTGGGTAAGAGTGACCTTTGGTGCGCGGCTTTTTGGGGACTGCGGGGGGGCCAAACACAAACGTGCAAGACGCTACTATCGCATCGCGTTTGGCGACCGGGGGCACCCAAAAGGCCCGCACCAAAGGTCACTCCGGCGAGAAGTCGCTCTTACGTCCAGTCGACCCAGACCCTCTTTGGAGTCCCGAAACGGTGCGGTGACACACCGTGCGGTGACCTCGAAATCCCCCAAGACCTCACCGCACGGTCCGTCACCGCACGGTCTTGGGACCCTGGAGGCTCCTGTCGCCCGAGACGTCCTCGGAGCACGACCCGAGTCCCAAAACCGTGCGGTGCCCCCGAATCCCCACCGACTCACCGCACGGTGTGGTCACCGCACCGTTTGGGGACCCCCGACCCTCGACCCCCCGAGCAACGACGGGCAGCGGACGGCCTGGACGGCGCGCTGGCGCCTCGGGCGGGCGCGCTGGGGCGACGGGCCACCGCCCCAGCGCGCCCGTGCGCCCCGGCGCGGGCGCTGGCGATGCCTCGGCAGGACAGGCACGGGCCCCGTTTCCAGCCGGGATGCCTCCCAGAACGGCGCCCCTTTGTGGTCCCGGGCGCGCCTGTGTGCACGAGGGGGGCCCATGAGGAAAAACCACTGGATTTATGTCGGGCCTGTCCTCCTACAGGGGGATTTAGAACAACAAATAAAACAATAGTCCACTAATAACCCCACATGGTTTTAACAAATGCACCAACAAATCGTCCCCATTTTTTGTAAAAGACAACGATGTTCCTACCTAGGCTCTGCCTAGAAAGGTTCTTACTCGATATGCTTAAAGGGCCGGGCAGTGGGGCCCGCCCCGGGCGGTTCCCCCAGTATCCGTCCCGCGGTTTCCCCAGCTACGTCCCTTTAGCTTAGCGTTGCTTATCTCATCTTAGCTTAGCTTATTTCATCTTAGCTTAGCTTATGTTCATCTTCGCACGGGCTTATCTTAGCTAGCTTGCCTTCATCTTAGCTTCGCTGAACTTTATCATAACATAGCAAATCATAACATAGCATAGCGTAGCATAGCGCAACATCGCATATCATAACATGGGTGTAAGGTAAACATAACTACAGTCTCCATTTTCGTACATATATTTAAGCCATATATGCATATGTGTTTCCTTTTTGCGAAGAACTATATTTGGAGCATATGTATTCCCAATGTTTCAATTTCGTTCCAGGATTTTTTGAAGGTCGGGGGCGACGTCGGGGTGGTGTGGCGTATATTTTTTCCCCCGTGTTCCACGGGAAGCAGCGAACACCGTATGCACCATGATCCCGCATACACCAAGATCTGCTTTCCGGCGCAAGCGTTAATGCAAGGCCGAAACAATTAAGCGCTGGTAGAGCCTGTTCCCTACCTAGGCTCTGCCTAGAAGGGTTCTTACTCGGTATGCTTAAAAGGCCGGGCAGTGGAACCCGCCCCGGGCGGTTCCCGCAGGATCCGCCCCGCGGTTCCCCCAGGATCCCCCCGCGCACCCCAGGTGAACTTAGCTTAGCTTAGCTTCGCTTAGCTTAGCTAAACTTAGCTTAGTTAGCTTAGCTTAGCTTAGCCTACCTTTGCTGATTCCATTTTAACTTAGCTTAGCCCAGCTTAGCTTAGCCTAGCCTCGCCTAGCTTAGCTTATCTCATATTAGCTTAGCTTCGCTTAGTTTAGCTTACCCTAGCCTAGCTTAGTTTAGCTTATCTCATATTAGCTTAGCTTAGCTTTGCTTAATTTAGCCTAGCCTAGCCTAGCTTAGCCCATCTCATCTTAGCTTAGCTATCTTAGCTTAGCTTAGTTTGTGCTGGTTTCCTAGGGGCTCCAACTCCTAGGTAGGGTCGCGCTGGGATAATTTTGAATATTTCTTTTGTAGAGTGGGACAGGCCCGAGTTAGCACTGGACGACCGACGCAGCGGCAAGCCCCGTCCGAACCCAAGGCGGTTCTCATTTCAGCGTCTTGGCTGCGCGAGGGAAGCCCTGCGCCGCGAGAGCGTGGATCGCTGAGGGGCAGCGGCAAAGGGGACCAGCTCAACGGGTGGGGGGGGCCTCGCCGATGCGTCGGCGCGAAGCCCCCTGACAGCGAATCCGCACCTTCCTGGGTGGGGTGGGGCTTCTGGGCCACTCTCGGCGACGAACGGGCGATTGGAGGGTCGAGGCGCCCTCACCTGGGGTGCTGCGGGTGCGGCGCCTGAGCGCTGGAGTGTCCGAAAGCGAAGCCTGATCAGAAGTCCTGCTCAGTCTTGCTCCACTGCTCCTTCGTGGTATGTTCCAATGCAAGAGCGCAACATAAGGCAGAAGGAACGAAGCCCCTCCGTGGCGCCAAGAGTGCAGGGGGGGCGCACGAGGAAGCGAACCACGGAAGGACCTGGAAGGAGCCGCGAGCCCCTGCCGAGCCCAGAGCCGTCCTTGCTTCCACGCGCTGGCTGTGCCCATCGGTCGGAGGAGGAAGTAGGTAGCAACATGGAGCAGGAAGACGTTGAGAACGAGACTGGGTGTCCGCCCGCCCCCTGAAGAGGACGGAAGATGTGAAGTCACTCGACCATGGAAGCAGGAAGGCGCTCAGAGTAGATGGGGCAGCCCTGGCCGCACGGGGGAAGCGGGCCCTGGACCCGGAGGGGGCCCCTCCCCGGTGAGCGTCTTCGCATCACGCGTTTCGACACTGGGCGAAGGGGGGGGGGTGTTGCTAGAAGTACCCCTGGCCCAAGGTGCCCCCCAGGCTTCTCGGGGTGGCCCAGACGGCCTCCAGAGCACCCCTCACGAGGCCCAGAGGGCCCCAGGGGGCCCAAACTGGAGCGAAAACCTGGGGGCACCCTGGGTCAGGGGCACTTCTAGCAACACCTGAGGGGGGGAGGGGGAAGGGTCTGGCTCCGGACCTCTGCTTCGTGCGACTGTTTGCACCAGCGCGTCCCATGGGGGAGACCCCACCTGCCTCAAACAGGCGCCAAAAACAGCCAAGATCTACTCCCTGGGGAGGGGGAGGGGGGGTGCGAGGGCCCGCGCAGATCGGCAAACTAATGAATCAGAAAACGATCATCGTGTCAACTCTTCACGCCGAGCGGCTTGTCTCGCACGCCCACGGAGCCCGTCATCGCGGGCCAGAGGAGTTCCGACAAAAAAACTGCGCAGGAGCTCCAGAGGACCCGTGCCTTTCTCCTCAGGGCCCTGGACGCCACGACGCTTCCACAGCATCGGCCCTCAAAGGTCTCGACCATTCCCCGGGCAGGGCTGAACCTAGATGGTGTTTCTCGTTTCCGTTTTGTTTTTCGTTATTCCTCGCTTTGCCGCCTTCGCTTCGCCTTGAATGCAAAGCAAAACGATAAACAAAACGTTTGGTCCAGCCCTGTCCCTGGGACCAGGTTGTCATCCTGAACAGCCGTTGACGGACACCTGGCGCCTGGCGAGGACCCCCAGAGGCTGCGAACGACGACAAACCTTGATTTTGCTCAGGCGTCGAAGGTCTGGGTTGGAAAAAATCGTTCACTAGACTCTGACAAGTGTGCTTGCATGTGGCGAGACTCCACGCAAGTCGGGCCTCCCTTGCACGTCTTTTCGGGCCAGCGCTGTCTGCAGAGGCGGCGGAGAGGAGGGGGAGGGAGGGCGGGGGGGATGCCATGCAGGTAAACCTGCCAGACTCTGAATAGAAACACGCTGCTGATGTTTTCAAGACATCGGATGCCTAGAGGCATCCTAGGTGGGATCCAAGTAGATAGGGTCGGAGGATCGCGCCGCATCGCCGATGCATAGGCGACGTCGGTTTGGAGAAAACTAGGGTCCATATCGAGCCGCATATCAGCAATGCGGCGCGATCCTCCGTCCCCATCTGTTGACTCGGATCCAATCTGGGTGGCCTAGAGGTAAACTTGGAATTCTTTGAATGGAAATGCGCTCTGGATGCGTTCAAGACTTTAGATGTCTGGGTTTGGAGGCCTGGAAATGAGCACCAACACCAATACAGGGTGTTGCCTCTGCCGGGGGAAGACGATCCTGGAAGCTGGAGCTGCTGGTCATTTAAGCCCCTGCAAACGGGGTGTTTGTTTGTAAACAGTGTGGTGCGGCAAGTTCGAGTCGTGTCGACGCGTTGGTTCCTGACACCGCGAGGATCGTTCAATCTTGAACGAGCGGCCGTTTCCGCAACGTCCGATCGTTCAACATCAACCGATTCTGGGCCGCCAACGGCGTTCAACGTTGAACGTCGGCGGCGGGGTCGCCGCAGGGTCGACACGACACGAACCTACAGTAGCTAAGGGTGCATTTCTACTTGTGCCTTCGGAGAATGAGCCGATTTTCCGCGCACAGGTGCGAATAATCCCTCCGCCCAGAGTTATCGTGCTGTATCGACGATTTTGTCGTTTCGACTTATCACGCACAAGCGAGAGGTAAATGCCCTGTCGCCCGCCCTGCGCTCGCCCGTAGAGGCCGCTCAGCTGCCACCCCGTCTACTGATTGGTGGAGGCACACCGCCGATGTTGGTACTGGTGTCAATCTCTGGGCCTCCGATGGGAAGCCTCGGGGATCTTCTGACCCGGGCCAACCAATCCCGACCCGGGTCAGTCAGGCCTTGCGGAATCCTGCAAATCCTGCAAGATCCTGCACCTGAACCCGGGTCAGTGCGAAGGATCCTGCAAAATCCTGTAGGATCCTGCGCCCAAGCCCGGGTCAACGCGATCCTGTCCCTGCAAGATCCTGCAAGACCTGGCGCTCTGGCCGACCCCCGTTTGTTAACGGGCGAAGAACGGTGTAAAACAAACTTTTCCGCTGTCGGGGGCGCCTGTCCCAGGGCGGCTGGAAAGTTTATACCCTTA